GTGTTCTTAACCACCTCAGAATCATATTGTATATTTAAAAAAAAAAAAAAAAAAAAAAACTTATTTTAGCCAGGCAGTGATGGGACACACCTTCAGCACTCGGGAGGCAGAGGCAGGCAGATCTCCACATTGAAGGCCAGCCTTGTCTACAGAGTGAGTTCCAGGACCGCCAGGGCTACACAGAGAAATCCTGCCTCTGGGATTAAAGGCGTGTGCCACCAAGCCCGGCAAATATATATATGTATATATATATATATATATATATATATATATATATATATATATATATATATATGAAAATAAAATAAGGCCGGGCGGTGGTGGCGCACGCCTTTAATCCCAGCACTCGGGAGGCAGAGGCAGGCGGATCTCTGTGAGTTCAAGGCCAGCCTGGTCTACAGAGCGAGTTCCAGGAAAGGCGCAAAACTACACAGAGAAACCCTGCCTCGAAAAACCGAAAAAAACAAAAAAGAAAAGAAAAACTAAGTTTAAAAAAAGAGGGGGAACGCAGTACAAGGTAACATTTTTAAACAGGTGATAAGGGGCCTCCACCTTGGATGGTCCCCAGCACTCTAGGGAAGCCACTTCTAGACAAGGTTATCTGACTGTGGGCTCTCTGCTTGTAGTTTGCAGACGTGCAGCCCTGAGTGTCCATCATGACCCCCAGCCGTGGGAAAGACGCCAAGGAAGGGGCAGACACAGTCAGAGCTCTTGTCTCGCTTGCTTCTTACTCGACTTACAGAACATGGAGATGGACTGAGACTGTGGACAGCAGAGCTATCCCACACAGATCCTACCCACCACGGGTCACAGCAGGCCCAGGAACTGGTTTCAACCTGTTTTAAAGTAGCACTACATGTCAGATCCTCAGATTTCTCTGGAGGAGTGTCCTTCCCTCACAACTGGAGATGCAGTTTCTTCTCACCCTCACTCCTGCCCTTCCCAAAGCACCTCAGTCCACCTGGATACAGAAGCCACAGGCCCTAGAACCTTCCCAACCCCCAGCTTCTCCTAACTGGCCCTCAGCAATGTCCGCCCAGAGCCCAGAGGCAGACCACCTCCCTCAGCCTGCCATCTGTTCTCTACCTGTGGGTGAGAAGTGTCCTGATCTTACTTTACCTTTAAGGGTGGCCAGGGTGCTGGAGTGGAGGGCTTTTCTCTTCCAAGCTGGTACTCAGCTCAGCTGGCAGGCCACTGACTGTGTTAGCTAGAAGTACTAATCTTTGACTGGCAGCATAGTGATGGAGAAGCACTCTTCACTGAGATGGACACCGGCTCCGGGGTAAGACTGCATGGAAGATTGTCAGGTACTCCCAAGGAAGGTGAGGCCACACACCCGCCTAGAGAAAGCGCCACAGGCACTTTCCAAGGCAACATAGGGAAGCCACTGTCACAGGCCCAGGCTCTTCTCAATCTAGGGCCTCTGCGGAAGCAGACAGCTTGCCCACAGGGAGCCTGCTACCTATTTGACACAGCCGACAGTGACCAACCCTGGGCTGGCTCTCAGATAGGGTGGCACCATTCTGGGTGAGTCAGTTGACAGGGACATCTCAGGGGCAGCAGCTAGTCGCAGACCCAGCGTCACCTTTGGATGGAATGGTCATGAGAACATTCACACAGGACATTCTCAGCATCATCTCTAGGGCAGAATACAGGAAAGGGAAAATCTTCACCAGGGGTAGGAGCTGCTCCAGACCTAGATCCAAGGATACCAGATAACCCCAATAGCCAGGTAAGATGCACAACAGTGTAGACCCTTGAGTAGGGGTGCAGGCAGGGACTGAATATGGAAGCCAATGGGATAAAGTAAGTCCCCTCCCAAATGATCTGCAAAGTAAAACCTTGTTAAATCCATATATTACAACTTTTCCTTTGGGGGGCAGTGAGGTGGAGCTGGGGCAGGGAGGGTGTCTTGATGAGTAGCTCTTAATTGGCCTGGATCTACATAGCATAGGTTGGTCTCAGACTCACAGATTTCAACCTGCCTCTGCCTCCTGAGTATTAGAGTTAAAGGCCTTCATTACCACGTGAGACTACAACTGTGATGTTTAATGCCACTTTGCTCAAACACTGGGTGATAACTAGAGAGCCTTTCCAGAATACAGAATCACTTCCTGGATTTCCCTATCTGCCCTACAGCTGTGAGACACTGTGGTGCAGACCTTGGGCCTTCACTGTGCTTACACTCACTCATGCAGGTGTGCTTTGGAGGCCATCACCAAAGGTGGAAAGGTCCAGGAAGTACCAGGCAGACCCTGCACATGGTCCTGATCTCTCCAGATCCCCTCTCCCCAGCCCCACAGGGCATCTCCACCGCCAGAGTTCCACCTTCTAGCCAACACATAAAAGATCACAAAGATGACTGGAGGCAAGGCCGCACACAGTGTCACTTGAGATGCACAGGAGTTTGCCAAGTAGCAATGCTGTTCTGCACTCACTGCCCCTTGGGAGGATCCTGCACTCACACACTAAGAGGCAGTGATCAGCCTGGACCGACCAGCACACTGCAAACTACTGAATACCTAGGGCTGACTGTAATGCCCCAGCCCAGGTATGGGCCAGGAGCCCTGGCTTTTCTGCGTCTCCTTACCTAAGCACAGGCCTGGCACCCAGCAGGCCCTACAGATGTCTCCTCCCTTTTGGCTGTCACATTGCAGCAGCACAGGGAAGAGCTGCCCTTGGACTTGAGTTCACTGGGAAAGCCAGGCTACCTGAAGACATGCGAAGACTCAATGCATACATGAACACTGCGTGCCTACTAGCTACACACCTGTGACTCACCTTGAGGGAGTGGTTATAGCAGAAGTAGTAGTAACTCTGTCCCTAAAACCTCTACGACCATGCCATCAACAGCTAGGATGCAGGCCGAGTGGCCGGGGAGCCTCGTCTGAAGTGGTCTCTGGTATATGCATCCCAGCACCTTCCTCTTCAGTACTGGAGACTTGAGCCGTATATTGTCACAGGCATGGAGCCAGGATGAGAAGGGACCTCCCCAAGGCTCCCAGCATGCTCAAGCAGGCTGCTGCTCCATAAAGCCATGCTCACTGGGCTACAACTGTCCTTTGTATGGCACACCAACACTTGCCCCAAAAATGTCACTTTATCTTCATAATCAAAAATGGAGGAGCTGGTGAGACAGTTCAGTGGGTACAAGTGTGTGCCACCGAGTCTGAGCGCCTACACCAGGCCCCCAGAGCTCCCACAAGTGTGTGCCACCGAGTCTGAGCGCCTACACCAGGCCCCCAGAGCTCCCACAAGTGTGTGCCGAGTCTGAGCGCCTACACCAGGCCCCCAGAGCTCCCACAAGTGTGTGCCACCGAGTCTGAGCGCCTACACCAGGCCCCCAGAGCTCCCACAAGTGTGTGCCACCGAGTCTGAGCGCCTACACCAGGCCCCCAGAGCTCCCACAAGTGTGTGCCACCAAGTCTGAGCGCCTACACCAGGCCCCCAGAGCTCCCACAAGCTGTCCTCTGACTACACACGTGTACCATAGCACACCCTTGCACATACACACAAACCAAATAAATAAATATATAAAACTGTATTTAAAAAAATACAAGACCTGCTTTTATTCTTCATAGTAACAGTTTAACTTACAGGCAAGGAATGACCACAAGAGAGCTGGACTCAGTGACGTTTACATTTTATTTACGTCGGTAGCACTAAAATACATTACGCCTTGTGGATCATATTTCCACAACACACATTAATACCAATCCACACTCCATGGTAACTGCCCACACCACCTCCCATCAAAACCAAGCAAACACAGCAAACACTTCATGGTCGTGCCCTCAAACCTAAGGTGACCTTGTCCCAGACTCCTAGCTATGGCAGTGCCCATAACTCACAAAACTCCCCCTTTCTACAATGCTGGACCCAACTGCTGGCATCTCAAGCCCACCAACACTTTTTATAATGCCCTCCCTTCCAAGGAGACAAAGTTCGAGTAACCGATCCCTGTGGCCAAGAGGAAGGAACACATCCCCAAGAGGCACGTGCAGCCCAGAAGTGAGGCGGCATCAGAACTACTTGGTGCTCAGTGCAAAGGGCAGGTTAGGTGGCAGCATGGCATGGATTTGACAGGATGGTGCTTGTGAAGGAAAGGGCCAATACTTGCAATAGAAAGAACTAAGGTCAATCTTCTTGCTTGATAGCTGATTATTCTGCATATACCTGCGTGTGCCCTGTGTTTGTGTAAGTAGCCAGTGGCACTGACCTACGAAAGCTAGAAATGGTATTGATAGGCAAAACCTTTTGACTGAAGGACAAATATTTCTCCAAGAAGAAAAGATGAGATTTCCCAAAAACTAAACTATATTTCGTGTCAATTCTGACATCTGGAGAAGATTAAGAATTGAACAATAAATATAAGGAAAGACTCTACATCTGAAGTGGCTCATAATGGCCTCTTGTTGCCAGAGTACTGAATCCAAAGAACCCTAAAACCCATGGCTCAAGGCGCAGCTTACATTACCTGTAAGTTCCGCTGTACTAAAACTGCACACTGTACCACCGCCAGGAGACAGTCTGTCATGAACACATACATACCCAGCTCCCTACTGAACCCTACTGGACTCCTACAGCTACAAATACTTCAGTGCTCGGAGCAGGGCTTGGACTGCTAAAAAGAACAAGGCAGATCCTTACAACAAGAGGAAAAGGCTACAGATTTAGTGTTGGGTAAAAGCAAAGTTACAAGGCTGAGGTTGTGTCACAAGCTTATATACTATACAGGCCACCCGGGATTGTCACCTCCATCTCCAACACCCCTGATCCTACCGATCCGTGGGCACACGTCCATAATCCTGCTAAGCGAAGTGGCCCTGGGCGGCACCGAAAGGATGCCGCTGCCGTGTGCGTGTGCACCACACACGAGAGCGGCTGCTGTGGCTGCCGCCAAGTCCAGCCTAGTGGTTCCCTTTGGTCGACTTCTTCTTCTTCGAGTCCTCTTTCTGCTTCTGCTTCTTCCTCTTGCCACCTTCCTTGAGCCCTAAGGAAACATGGCTTGTGAAACACTGCACACCAACAACTGCTTCCCCATGAGGCGGGTCACTCACTAGACACTTCCCCATGTACAAAGAGAGCAACAGAACAGCCATTCATGATGTCCACATCAAAAATGAAAACACCAAATCCGTTTGGATAGCATGCTGAAGACCTTCCGTGTTACTCACAGAACAGCACCACCACACAGGAAGTGTGCTATTCACAGCAAGCATCCTGCATTCACCCAGCAGCCCAGCCACAGAACCAGCTCTGTGGCACAGGCTCCATCTCAGTCCTGAGACCCTGCCAAGGCCCTATCTGCAGAATGTACAATCCTGTCACCTACACAGCCAGGTCAATCTCCACAGTTCCCTTCTGCAATGGACAGCCCACTCTCCCTAGCAGATCATTTTTCTTCCTTGAAAACAAAGCCTCTCTCATTTTCCTGTCATTAAAGCTAATAAAATAAGTACAACCTTACCAACCAAGTCCACAGTAGATGGACGGAGGCTCAACCTTTGGACGCTGCCAATGAGCCAGAAACAAAGGGCTCTGCCTTTAGGACTGCGGAAGTCCTCAGATCCTGGTCACAATGAAAGTAGGTGGGATATGGGCCTCATGTTGAACAGGAGCCACAAAAGAGAACTCAGAACATGCCAACAGATACCTCAACATTCCCATGAAGATCCACCAAAATCTTAACACATGAATTAGTTTGAGGGGCAGGGAGCACAAGAGGCAGGCCAGCAGCAGGGTTAGATGTAGGTTCTATCTCTGCAAAGTGCAAGCCGTGCTGTTCTGTGAAGAGGTCCACACTCCACAGAGCTACTGGGCAGGGTCAAGTTCAGCAGGAAGAGGAAGGAAAGAAAGGTTTATTCCTTCATTCATGATTTTTCCTAATGTTGAATAATTTCTGTTTTTAATAGCCATGTGTTGTTCTTCACAGTTCGCAGACCCATGTTGTGTGTGGACTACACAAATGAAAAATGCCACTAATCCCTTCTCCAAGAAGTGCAGCAGAACAAACTTTAAAGACACACACACAGATACACACATCCAATCCATGAAGCCCCAGGTGGCTTGAATTGCACAATAGGTCTTTCTCTATGAAGACACCTTAGTGAAAATTGTTTTCATCTAGGAAACTCCCCTTCCCAGTGCCAACTGGCCAGGCTGCATCTAGCTGCCTGGCAGTTCTCTGGCTGCAACTGGGATGGTCTGCACAAAGTTTCTCTTTGTGGTTTTTTTTTTAGGAAAATTTGCCCAAGACTTGTAAATCCAATCAAAACCAGTAATAACGGCAAAACCACTGAAGGCTGCACTGGGTCAAGAAGTGCAGGAAGCCTGGCCCAGACCATCTTAGATCTTCAACATGGCTCTCAGAACTTTAAAAGGAAAGGTCTGTTCTTGGTCCCCCTGATCCCAACAGCAGAGCATCAGACTTTGCAAAGGCTTCTGTGCTGCCTGGAGGACAGTGGTTTGCAGTACAGAGCAAGCTATGCTGCCCAGAGATGACAGCTTTGTCGCTGTAGAAACCAGAAACCACTGTTGTGTCGTAGCTAAGCTTCTAATGTCCCTCCCTCCCAACGGGTTTTGTTTTCACTTTGTTGTTAAGCCAAGCTCTCATATAGCTCGGGTGGCAATTTGGAGAACCCCACTTCAAAATGAGACACCATTTCTGAGTGAGAAGGTAAGTGAAGGGTTGTTCACAAACTTGTCTATAGAAGTTACGTGAAGGGTTGCTCACAAGCTTGTCTATAGCAGTTATGTGAAGGGTTGCTCACAAGCTTGTCTATAGAGGTTATGTGAAGGGTTGCTCACAAGCTTTTCTATAGAAGTTACGTGAAGGGTTGCTCACAAGCTTGTCTACAGAAGTTACGTGAAGGGTTGCTCACAAACTTGTCTATATGAAAGCATGGTTCCTTAAAAACATGGGGAGCAAAGGGACAGAGCAGAGGAAGCACTGGCTACACTCAGAGCCATGTGGGCAGATGCTCCTGACTCCAGACTTGGAAACATACAGGGAGACCACCTCATTCACAGCTTTTCCAGCCTCTCAGGCCAAGAATTTCTACAGGAATCCACAAGCTCACTAGTTCACCTCCCTCCCCTCAACACACACACAGAAAAGGTCTGGATCAGCACTGACAAAGCAACAAGGGGAGAGTGATTTGCTGTTCTTACTGCTCAACTCTACTGTCTCCAGATTCTTCGGCCTTGGCTGATCACCTTTTGCTTAACAGGCGTGGCCCAGGGCCAAGAGAATGGCCATCTGCTGCAGTCACACTTCCTGTCCAGATCCTGCTGTGGGAGGCCTGCGCACCTGTAAACAAGTTCTGCAGGCAGGCCTGTCCCTGTACGCCTTCTAAAAACCAGGAGATTAATGGCACAGCACCTGACAGGCCAGCCTTATGATGTCTTCGCAACTGAACATGAAGGGGATGGGGAGGTGCCAAAATCTCCAAGCCTGCTGCTCGCTACCTCTCATCACCCCTCCCAGTCCTCTTGGGAGCACTGGGAGGGAACAAGACATCGTGGGAGGTGTCCATAGTCACTGAGGCACATGAAAGCTTTCTAGTGCAGTCAGGCAAACCTACCCACCTGCCACTCAGCTGCCCAAAGCTCATGTCCCAGTCACCCATCTGTTTTTGCTGGCATCTCTTCATAGCAAGGTATATGCTATACGCTGGCTGCCCAGTTCCAGCAATGCCTCACCCATGGAGGACTTCGTGTTCTTTTGCTCATAGAACCCTGGAGAGTTCTCTGCTTCATTCTCCTATGAGGAGAACCAGAAGGAGCTTGGAGACTTGACTTTAATACAAAGTTCTGGGAAGCAATGGAATTGACCTTTGCCCTCTGTGTCCTATTTCGAGCACTTTGCAATACAATCAGACACAGACCACCAAGCCACATCTCCACCATAGTTTGGCCTGTTTGACCATGGGCACAAACTTGTTTCACTTCTGGGCAATAAAACTACACTGATATAGGGCTTGGGCCTGACTGGGAAAATTCTATGTGTACATGCTGAGCACCCAGAATGTTCTATATAGGAAATACTCCTGAAGATGTACAAGCTGCTGGCTGAGGGTAGAGTTGGACAGTGGACGATCCCATCCTGAGCACTGAGGGAGGAAGGAGCCAGGCCTCCAACTTCACCTGTAGCTCACCTGAGAGAACTCTACTGGGAACCTGTGTCTTTTGTCTGGAAAGTGAAGCTATTATAAGTGTGTGAGTGGCCTTGGGGCAAGTAAGGTCAAGTGACAGACCTCAAGATCTAGTACCAAAACTATAAGGAGCCATTAGGGGCAGAAGCAGCACCTAGCCATTTCCTCAGCAGTCAACTTGACACAGACAACATACTCCATACACATCAGAATACTGGGACCCCTGTTTTAATCAAGGGGCTTTGAACCACGAAGCTAGGCTGTACATAGAGCAACTGTGGGAGGTGAGCTGGGTGCAGGGTCTCCTCTGCCCATACTTGGTAGGCCTGGCACCTTCCCCCAGCTCCCCATGCCTGCTCAGGTCAGAATGCAGCAACACAGGCCTGACTTCTGTTCTCGCTGTCCTGGGTCTGGGGGCAAACCACTTTGGGGGTGCTCCACACCAGCTCCCTTCTGCACACCTGCTGAGGTCATGGGGGCATCCAAGTTGCCAGAAACCCGCTGCCTGTCCTGCTCTTCATCTTCCCGGTTGCTTTTAGACCCAAGTTTGACCGTCGGGGCAGGCTTGGGTGGCTTCTGTGGGCGGGTGCTGATAGAAGGGGCCGGAGTCTGGGCTGGAGCTGGAGCTGGGGCCGGGGGCCGGGCCGGGGGCCGGGCTGGGGAGGGGGCCCGAACTGATGCTGGGGCCGGCCCAGAGGCCAGAATTGGTGTGTGTTGGCCTCTCCGCTGGCATTCTTCTGCAAGGGCGTTCTCGTCAGGCACACCTGAAAGCACAGCACACCAGGGAGAGCTGTGAGCTGCAACCCTCCCTTGGGAGCAGAAGGCTTCACCCGCCTTCTTTCCCAAAAGATGGCTCCATCTCTAGAGCCACCATATTTCTATAAAAGAAGGTACTTACTGTCCATGCCCTCCACTGCACTGCTGGGTCTGAACACTTATAACACTTATAACCTCCTCTTCCCAGAGGGGTCTATAAAGCAATCCCAGAGAAACTAACTGTCTCTGCTGCAATGCCATCATCCAGATTCTGAGTATACAATCAAGGCACAAGGCCTGGCAGATCCTGCTTAAGATGGTTCTTGCCAACCCAATAATGCAGCCCTGCAAAAAGGCACCAGACCCAGCCCAGGCATGTCCATAGGCCAGCACCAAGGAGGCATCACCTCTGCACAAGCATGAAGTGGCTTAGAGGCACTGCAGAAGCCAAGGGCACTCACTCTGCCCACCATGCCTGCGGGGTAGAGCCAGGCCCCAGGCAATCTCCCGGAAAGCTCCCAGTCAGGTCTGTAGCACAGCTCATCACACCCCCCTCAACACTCGCCCATCATCACTCAGAAGACTGTTATCTTTGGAGAAACAGAAACGGGTTCTGAAGGGTTTACACACTAGATGATGCTGAAAACGAAACAAAAAAGCAGCAACAGTTAAAGGACTGACTTCGATTCCCTGGGACTTTGAATAACAGCACCATTTTCATTTGTACCGCCATAAAGCTGAAGGCAGTGGTTTCCAACTCTCAGTTCTCCAGGAGGGTGAACCTTTGCTCACCTCCTGGTGAGGAGCAGCTGCCCTGCTACTATCCCTCCAGTCTGGGTGTCAACTGGCAGGAGACCTGCAAGAGCCTCCTTCCTTTGGTAGGAACCTGGGACAGGCACATCCACTCTCAACACTGGGAGGCACTTGCTCAGAGAAAACTGCAAAGTATTTTAGACCAGTTCTCATTTTGACACCTCCCATGAACCCAGGCTCTGCTGGAACCAGATCTGTGGAGAAGCCATGCCTGATAGGTAACAGAGAACCTGCCCATCTTCCCACTGTGTGGAGATGGCAGCCCTGCACAGAATGGAATACATTTCTGAGGAATCTTAAAATTGGGGTCAAGTATCACACCTGGGACTACAGTCACAAGGTTCATTAAACCCCCAAATGCATGCCTGGTGGTGCTACATGCCTATAATCCTAGCACTTGGGAGGCAGAGGCAGGTAGATCTCTGTGAGTTCAAGGCCAGCCTGGTCTACAAAGCAAGTTCCAGGACAGCCAGGAATGTTACATAGAGAAACCCCATCTCAAAAAGCCAGAAAGAAGAAAAAAAGTTCAGAGCACTGAGCTAACAAGCTTCAACAAGTTACCGGCATCCAGTGAAGAGGCTTTACACACCCATTTTGCATCCATTTAACCAACCATGCACAAAGGTAAGCCAGCAACAATAGCCTGTCCAGAGGTGCCAGTCTTGACCCCATCATTCACACCCATCCTACATGTCCTGGGGATATCCTGTCCCAGAGCTTGGAAATCCTGGTGAGCCATACACTTTCTGCACTCAGCTGAGGGCAAAATGTGGCGTGGGCAAGCTTGTGAGTCCATAGACAACTCATCTACAGATAGGAAACATGTCTGAATGAGACCAAAACCTGAGATCTGGGGATCATCTGGAAGGAAAATTACCATGCACCCCATGTTAAGGCATCATGAAGACGTACTGTTTTCAAAGACTGTGCTGAGGAAAAGGCACAATTTGGGGAGCAACAGAGGCTAGCACACCACGGGGTCTCTGAAATGAACATCCAACACATGGTGGTCAGCAAACAACACATTTCCTGACCACTCGGCCCATAGTGGCAGGCACATGGTGACAGGGTTCAGAATTTGATTGACATAAATGATGGCTTGCAGGACAATGTGAATGCTTACCGGTCCCTTTAGGGGTATTGCCAATTATCCCTGGGGTGCCCCACAGCTGGCCCGTCACCCCAGCACTATCGAGAGACTGAGCACTCAACACTGCCCTTAGGGCCCAGAAAAGCACATGAAGGAAGCCCAGAGAGACTCCAGGCCAAACTATTCTCTCCTGAGCAGAGAATACCTGTGAAGTCATTCCATGCAATGTTTAAAAACTAAACAAGAGCCAGGCAGTGGTGGCACAGGCTTTTAATCCCAGCACTTGGGAGGCAAAAACAGGTGGATCTCTGTGAGTTCGAGACCAGCCCGGTCTACAGAGCGAGATCCAGGACAGCCTAGGCTACAGAAAGAAATCTTGTCTCAAAAAACAAGTGAAGGGAGGGAGGGGGGGAGAGAGAGACAGAGACAGAGACAGAGAGACAGAGGGAGGGAGGGGAGGGAGGGAGGGAGGGAGGGAGGGAGGACAAGAGACAGGCATAGTTGTGCATGCCCATAACCCCAACAAGGGAAGCTGAGGCGGAATGACAGCACACCAGAGGCCAATCTAGAATACATAGTTTGAGGTACACATAGCAACACCCCGTATTTACTAACAGGGAGAGGGAAGAAAGAATGACAGGAAGGAGAAAGAAGGGCGAGCATGTTGCCTGTAACTCGTGAAGAAAACCACTTTTTCATGTGATAACCACCCCCTACAAACCTTTTTTTTGGGGGGGGGAGGGCATCGGGCAGAGCCTCGGGACAGCAGCCTCTTGCTCTTCACACTTACCTCAGTGCCAAGATGGGTGTCCTTGGGTCCGCCCAGAGCCAGGTCTTACCAGGCTCCCATCCAGCTACAAGAGGAGACAGGATGCTCCCCACATTCTGCTTCAGAAGCACCCTTCCCAACAGTCCTGCTGGATCTGCAAGCTCCACCTAGACACACCCCACAAGGTACAACCCCCAACAAAATAAGCAAAGTTCCCCCAATAGACTTTTACAGGCAGTGGCCCTCAGTGGAGCAGTCTTACAAGCTCACCACCCGTGTTGGCCAAGTTCCCCGCACTCTGGCTTTCAGAGCTTGGCTAGGACATCTACAGCAGGGAGCCAATTGCCGGGAGGGTGGCATGCTTCCGTCTCACTGCAGGCTCTCTGCACTTCCAACCCTACCTTCCCCAGCCTGGGGATACACAGCAGACCTGCTTTCAGAGCCCCTTCAAAGAGCTCTGTGCTTACTGCTGAGTGACACTAACCATGCAGAGAAAACTGGCTGTTCGTTGTCTCAGGCCCTGCAAAGGGCAAAACGGCTCAGAGGGTCAAGGCGCTTTGCTGCCAAGTCGAGGCTGAGAACCTGGACTTTATCCCCAGGACGCTCATGTTGGAGAGAACCAATTCTCAAGTTGTCCTCTGATCTCCATTTGCACAATGGTGTGCACACATATGCACGTGCGCACACGCGCGCGCACACACACACACGCACACAAAGAAATAAACGTGAAATACTTTTAAAAAGAACTAAGCTTTTTAAAAAAAAAAAAAAAAAGACAACTAGCAGAAAGCTGAACAAAAACACTACACATTGTGCCTCACAACCCTTCTGGAACATAGGCCTCATTCTTACAACAGGCGACTAGCTGTAGCTCAGGATTCAAGCACATGTGGTTTCTCTGTCTATGCTTGAGGGCCCAGTGCTGGAAAGGCAATACTTGGTGGCCGATGGAAGCCACCCTCAACCCCTCTCATGACTGCCACCTTCCTGCTTAGAATGCCCTCCAGCTCTCGGAGCTTTCTTAAAAATCCCCATTAGGAAATCCCCTGGCCCAGCACGGGAGGGCATGGGACTATGGGCCGCGGGGTCCCACAAACTGAAGTGCCTGAGATGGATATAAAGGTGGGAAATAACCAGACATAGGTCATTCTCTCCTCCAACACTCCCACTAGGTACTTCCTAGGAGGGCTCATTTGCCATGTATTTGTCCAAGCACTCCTTGTGGCCTGCTGCTGTGACGAACCCTTAATCACTTAGCAACTGCTGCCTCTAAGGCAGTCTGGACCAGAGCAAACACAGCACGACCACTGGTGTCTGGGACATTACCAAACCTGACTCCTATGTGGAAGAAGCTGGGCAGGACCGATGACCTCAGCCCCAACACAGATGGCCCTGTGGACTGGCTGCTCTGTGCGGGCAAGCTCCAAAAGCGGAGTCGTAAAGGCAGTAACAGCGCACCAACTTCTCTCAAGTACTATGCTGTGATTTTCACACTCTGCCCCATGACGTGTTCCTGTCTTGCTTCAGAACCTCCTCTCTTGAACCCTCTGGTCTTTGTCTTCATGGCTGCCTACAAGCACAAGTGTTGGACAAGTGCTCTATGAGCCCAGAAACACGGCCAGTCTGACAACAGCCCATGGGAACTAAACTGCTTTTCACAAGGGATGTTGTATTACAGTTTTGATGACTTCTCTGTCCTGTTACGGTGGGAACCCACAAAGGTGCAGAAAACCATTACACCACCACCTTCAAAATGATGGCAAGCACCTAGGCTCAAACACCATTCATCCTTATCCCTTAATGTGGAGATGCCTGACAGACAGCCGAGTGAGAGAACCATCTCGCCATCTTCATATCCTGGCACAAAGCGCACCCAACTAACTCGGTTGATTCTTTCCAACCACAGCCTTCATGGCAGACTCTAGCAGAGCTGGGCAGGTACCCACCACACACACACACACGCACGCACGCACGCACGCACGCACGCACGCACGCACGCCCACCACCCACTGCTGCCTCATCATAGAGTGGCCAGGGAGATGTCACAGAACCAGAAGTAAAGCTTTATCCTGAACAGCACCTATCTATCACAGAAAGGACTCCACTCTCTGTCCTACTCGGCACCCTCACATGCAGCCTGCAGAGACAGAATGGTCCACTGCAGAGGCAGGGTCAGTGGGGGTGGCTGTGTGCCCTGGACATGCTGCTGATGGGCTTCCTTCTGAAAGTAAAAGCACATGTGGCACTGCCACCCCCTCGATGTATCCCTCAACACCCAATCAGGCCTGGAGACTGGGTAGAGCTGGACCACAGTACCGAGGGTAGGCTCAGAGCTC